GCATAATTCACACAATTCCTATACAGATTGGGTCTAGGCTATCTGAAGGATCACATTCTTCCGCACAATCATGTCTGGTGGGAACATGATTTCTCCCAGGCTCTGGAATTCCCTTTCTCAGAAGCTTAGATTGGCTCCTTCCTTGCTGTCCTTCTGTCACTAAAGTGAAGACCTTTTTAAAATTATTTATTTCTGCAAGCCTTTGGAAATGAACTTGTTGGTAACCAAAAGGACTTTAATTATGTTCTGTACTGTAATCTTTTGTATCTTAACTATTGTAAGTAGCTTTGAATTTGTTTTCAGGAAAAGATGAGAAAATAAATACATAATGGCAACACTTGAAAATAAGTATACAAAAGTTAAACTCAAGAGAAGTGTACATTAAAATCAGAGTCTCATCATCTTCTATGGATGGAATAGAAATTAAAGCCATTTATTTGTCATAGCTCTCAGCTCAAGAAACCAGGGGAAAAGTTTACAGGGTTAGCACTTCTATCAAATGCTTATCATCTTCTTTACAAACCAAACCCCACATTTATTTTACAGAGAAGCATGTTACACCAGTTTCAGATCTGTTAAAATGTGTATTATTAGACATGCATTGAAAAGTTCATTCTGACTATTCTGTGAATGGTAATGGGGTAGGGAATAGACTCAGAATATGCAATTTTAATTAGGTTCTTGAAAGAAAACCCTGCTCTTTTCATACAGGGAAAGTAAAAGGATATTATAATGGGAATCCTATCAAGAGTGACTATTTAACATTAGGAAGAGAAGTTTTGAATCTTAGCCTAAAAAAACCATCTCTCACACTGATTAATGTCAGCTTCATTTGCCTTTTTGTAGATCTGTAGTCTCACTACAAAATCATGCTCGAAATTCTGCAATATAGACTCCAACCATACATGGAGAGAGAAATCCCAGAGGTTCAAGTAGGATTAAGGAAAAGAAGAGACAAAAGGGACCACATTGCAAACATACGTTGGCTAATGGAGTGCACCAGGGAATTCAAAATAAAAATTAAAAAAAAATCAGCATGTGCTTTATAGACTATAGCAAAGCCTTTGACTGCAAAGATCAGGGGTAGGCAACATTTCCCCTTTAAGGGCCGAGGGACTTCAGCTCCCAGAATCCCAGGAGTTATTGGCCAACATGGCTGAGGCTTTGGGAGCTGAAGTCCCTCAGCCCTTAAAGGGGAAAGGTTGCATAGATCATGAAAGGCTATGGAATGCCCTTAAAGACATGGGAGTACCAACGCATCTGATGAGGAATCTGTATTCAGGTCAAGAGGCTACTGTCAGAACAGAATGGAGAAACAGAATAGTTCCAAGTTGGCAAAGGGGTCAGACAAGGCTTTATCCTTTCATACTATTTGTTCAACTTGGATGCAGAACATATTATAAGAAAAGCAGGCTTGAACACAGAAGATGGAGGAGTGAAAATAGGAGGAAAGAATATCAACAATCTAAGATATGCAGATGACACCATGGTACTAGCAGAAAACCTCACAGACCTGGGACACCTACTAAGGAAGATCAAAGAAGAAAGTGCAAAGGAAGACTTACTGTTGAACATAAAGAAAACAAAAATAATGACCACAGAGAACTTACATACATTTAAACTAGACAATGAGGAAATAGAAATATTAAAAGAATTCTCAAAACTTGGATTAAAGATTGATAGAAATTGGGACTGCAGTAAGGAAATCAGAAGAAGACTAAGAATGGGGAGGGTGGCTATGAAAGAACTAGAAAAGATTCTAAATAAAATGTCAAGATATACCACTCAGCACAAAAGTTAGAATCATACAAGTTATTGTATTCCCTATTACTATGTATGGATATGAGAGCTGAACAATTAAGAAAGATGATAGGAAGAAAATCAATGCATTTGAGATGTGGTGCTGGAGAAGAATACTGAAGATCCCATGGACAGCCAAAAGGAGAAACAAGTGGGTCCTAGAACAGATCAAGCTGGAAACCTCCCTGGAAAGCCAAGATGACCAAACTGAGGCTGTCGTACTTTGGACACATCTTGAAGAAGGAAGGACACATTGGAAAAGACAATAATGCTGGGGAAGGTAGAGGGAAGTAGGAAGAGAGGAAGGCCACATGCCAGATGGATGAACTCTATTAAGGAAGTCACAGGTTTTTATGGGGTTGCAGGAATTAAGCAGAGCAATGGAGGACAGAGGGTCTTGGAGATGTCTCATACATAGGGTTGCCATGAGTTGAGATTGAGTTGAGGGCAGTTAACAACAAACAACAAAGTCTCACTACATTTTGTACATTTATTGAAAGCACCTGGCAATAGCAGACCTATAGTGATATGTTAAAATGCTATTTCTGCTTTCACAAACAATTGCATCTCAGTTTTCCTTGTCTCACTTCTCATGTTCACGTATCACATTCATGTATTTTAAAATCTAAATTACAAGAGAGACATGGCTTGCTGGACAAAGCATGGATTAGAGTTAGTCTGTATCACAAAAGATCTTCAGAACAAATGAACAAAGTAAAAAACAGGAGTAACAAAACCCTCACAGTTTATTCAGTGCCATGGAACATTGGAGCAGCTTGTCCCCTTGTGTTCTCTATTTGTGCCCCACTGTACCCTATTTGTTAAAGGTTAACCAGAAACTGTTTAATACTGCTGTTATTTGCTGTCAAGCCAACTTCAACTTATGGGACTTCTAAGATCATCAGCTGCCTTGCAAAATCAGGGCAATGGCTTCCTTAATTAAATCAATCCACCCGTAATACCATCAGACCTTCATACCCACAGGGAATCCATTCCGGATCCCCCCACAGATACGAAAAAACCCAGGACCTCAAGTTCTATTGTACCTAATACTAGCATGATGTGCATGTAGTCACTAGTGTGGCTGTGTGCGTGTACCACCATTTGGGAAAACCAGGCTTGCTGTCTGCGGATGCACAAATCTCTGGATGGCAAGCCGGTGGATAGTGAAGGCTGACTATACAGTCTTCTTTCTCCACTTTGCCAAGCATTATAATCGTTTCCAATTAGTTATGACATCTAATATCCAAAGAAGAGCACTTAGGTTAGTCAATTTGACTTCAAGTGTGAGTTTCAGCTTGATTTGCTCTAGAACCTATGCATTTTTTAAAGTAGTCCATCTTTTCTGTATAACTATTTTCTTCTCCAGCACCACATTTCAGATCAATTGATTTTCTTCCTGTTAGCTTTCTTCACTATCCAACTTTCACAACTATTGATAGAAATTGGAAATACAATGGCACGGATGATTCTGACTTTGATATCTAGTGATATATTACATTTGTGGATCTTCACTAGTTCCTCCATTGCTGCACTTCTAAGTCTTAGTCTTCAGATTTCTAGATTCCTACAGTCTCCTTTTTGATTAATGACTGAGGCAAGGTATACAAAACACACCCATTTTTTAATAGAAGGAGACATAATTTCTCATGGTCTACACAGCCAAAGACTTTGCTGTAATCTATAAGGCATAGGTTGATTTTCTTCTCAATTTTTTTGATATGTTCCATTGTATAACATGTGTTTACTAAATGATTCCTAGTGCATTTTCCTTTTCTGAACACAGCATGGAAATCTAGCATTTCTTGCTCCATACAAGGTAAAAACCTTTATTGTAAAATCTTGAGCATCAGTTCACTTGCATGGGAGATCAGTACAACACTGTCCCCTTTGCTGGTGATTCGAATGTGTATTGAACATTTTCAGTATGTGGGCCATTGTTTTGTTTTTCATATTTGTTGGCAAAGTTTTGTTAAAATTGGAATGCATTCTGTCACAGTAGTCTGAAACAGCAATATTGGCATGCCATCTATACCTAGTGATTTATTTCTCCCAAGTGCTTTGAGAGCCCTCTCCACTTTACTTTCTAAGACCTTGGTTCTTTTTCAAATGGTTCTTCCTTGAAAGATTCTGTAATTATTTCATTTATTTGATACAGTTCCTCAGTGTACTGCTTCCACTGTCTTTTTATTTTGTCCTCATCACATAATGTATTCTGCTCTTGGTTATGTGTTATCCAATGAGGCTTTTATTTCTTTTTGGCTAGGGATAATGTCTTTTTTTATCCTTCTCTGAAATCATCCCTGGTTTCAGTCTACAGTTATTCTGGTTCTCTATCCATTAGGCTTAGTAGTGCAAATCTGTTCTTGACATGGTCTTTAAATTCTACAGGAAGGTTCTTTAGGTTATTTTGGCATGATGACTGATTTAGTGTATTCTTTAACTTTACTCTTAAGTTTTAACATTACCACTTATAGTCTGTACCACAATCTGCACCTGGTTTTTTTCCCACCCAGAGAGAATGGCACCACTCCATCTTCTGTTTCTAATTATATAGTCTCTTTGATTTCTGTATCAGCCAAATGAGGTGATATACACATAAACAGTTGCCTCTTTGATGGCCTCAAAATGTGTTCGTAATAAACAAAGCGGTGGCCTCACAAAATTTAATACGTTGCTATCCTTCTTTATTTCTTAATTCTAGGTGAAATTCTTCTACAGTGTTTGATTCTGCTCTGTTTCCTGCATTTGCATTCCAGTCCCTTATTACTACCAACATTTTCTGCTTTGGTGCATGACTGATTTGTTTCTGTACGTAAATGCAGACTCTTTATATTTCTTTCTCATCTGTTTCTGTGTGTAAAGCAGAAACATGGATTACAATTATATTGACAGGTTTTTCCCTGGAGCCTTATTGATATATTTTTTAAAATCAGACTTTGCATTGTATCCCCTGACTACTTTTACTGCATCTCACATTGCAATTAATGGATTACCAGAAAACAAGTCTGTTATCACCCAAATCACATTCTTTTTATGACTCTCTGGTAAACCATGCTTTACTTCTTTGATTGCCATTTCCAGAATAAAACACTCTAATTATCAGATCCAGAATATCCCATTATGACCACTTTAGCTCACTCACATAAATTCTATGCATTCCATTTCTTGTTTCATAGTATCTAGCTCCCCCTGGTAGAGGCAGTGTGGGGTAGTGGTTTGACTGTTGGACTGTGACTCTGGAGACCAGGGTTCGATGCTCAGCTCATCCATGCAACCCAATTGGTGACCTTGGTCGACAAGTCATATGCTCTCAGACTCAGGGGAAGGCAATGGTAAACCTTCTCTGATCAAATTCCCAAGAAAAACCCATGACAGGATTGCCATAAGACAGAAATGACTTGAAGGCACACCGCCACCGCCACCACCACCACCACCACATTGCTTTCACTGATTCATGCTTCCCACATAGTCTATATTCCTACTACATAAGTTGTGCAGCTTTGACTTGTGTTTCTCCTTTGAGCATGTCAGTGGATGAACATCCTTTTGGCTTGAATCCGGTTGCATGAACTAGACCCACCACTATTCATAGGAGTTTATCACACAGGGAGTCCCGTGCAGAAACCCTGCTTTAAAGTAGAAAAGAAACACAAAAGCGGAAGCAATTTATTAACGGGATTCCCCAGTGTGAAAAGTGAAAGTGATGTTAAAATGGGGTTAATCCAAACAGAAACTGCTTCTTTTTACTTTCGGAAAAACTCAAAAGTAAAAAGAAGCAGTCAATGGACGTTATCACACGGGGCAAATCTGCTGGTTAATCCACACAAATCCCAAACAAAAACTGGATTTTTGCCTCGCGTTTTCACACGATGTCGCACAGAAACTGGACAGAAACTGGTTTTATCCAAGGTCTTTTGAAATTTGGTTGTTTGGAGGAAATGCTAATGCGGAATTAAGGTAATTTCGCACTTACCGTAATGCAAAAAGCAAATGAGCATTTGGGAGCATTTTCCTGCTTTTCCCATGGTTCCAGCGAGCATTCCTCTATCTGCGCATGTGCAAGAAGCTCATTTCTAGTTCATTTACGGGCTTTTCTCACTTGTGTGTGAATGTTAAATGCGCTTACTTTAATTTCGCAATTAAGGTAATTATGTGTGAAAGCCATTTGTGGAATCAAGGTTTATTTTCAGTTTATTTTCGGAATGCCTCATTTCCACTTTATTATTGCTTTCTGGCCCACATGTGATAACGTCCAATGAGGGGTTTCCATTCAGATTAACCCCATTTTAACCCCAGTTTAACAGCGACGTCATCTGAAAAAACATCTGCTTTTGCGTTTTTTTTCAACTTTAAACCCCCGTTTCCACACAGGATTTCCCCTATGTGATAAACTCCATAGTTGCCCTCTGCTATTCCACTGTAGCTTGCTGAGTCCCTTCTGACATAGGAATCTCATCTTCCAGCACCATCTCTTCTTTCATTTTGCATTATCTCATCAAAGATTGCATTGTCTCATCAAAGGTGGAGTGGTTTACCATTGCCATTGCCAGCTGCCCCGATTGCTATGCAGAGGGGCGGGGTACAAATAAATGTTGTTGTTGTTGTTGTTATTATTATTATTATTAATATTAATATTAATATTAATATTACTTTCTGTGTACTACTAGCTCCTTCAGAGTTAACTAAATTGTCACTGTTCCTTGTTTCTGATAGATCCTCCACATGTGTCATCTCATCACTAATGCTGCTGCCCAGTAGCTGCTTGGCACATTTAATCTGGCTCCTCAGCAAAAGCTTGTCTGATGTGGGTGACCCTACCAGCAGCAATGCTACTGTCAGCATAGCCTCTTCACTGCAGCATACAATCATGTCAGTATGGAAAAGTAAAACACAGGAAAACAAACTTAAAAGTACAACTGGTAGCCATAAAGATAGGCTGTAGGTGGATGGGTGTCACCTGTGGTTGCTGTCATATTCATTTCTGACCATTAATTTCTGGGTATGTTAAGTCTTTGCCTTTTTACCCCCCCCAGTGCAAAATGTGCTAGTTGTTAACAAGCAAACAGATTTCAGATGAATGTACAGACAGCTGGCGGGCAATCTCTTTCAGTTGAAAAGCTGTAGACCCTCTAAATCTAGCTTCAACCATCACTACTTGCTGGTGGGATCTTTCTTTACAGTATTGGCCAAGTGGTTCAGGAAGAGAAGGCAGGTAGATTTATAGATATGTATTGCTGGGGAGGGGCATTATCTTGATTTATGTGCATGAAAACAAATACAGACATATAGTGAATGAGGTGAAAATTTGTCTGCTTGGTATTCTGGTTTTTCTGAGTCCAAAACCAGAGACAGAATAAATGCTGCTAAACTATTTCCCTTTTAGTGAATTGTACAGCATAATATGTTCTCTTTGTTTCAAATCTTCCCTCATACAAGGTCAGCAATGATCAGCTGGCATATTCCTGGGGGGGATACAGTTTCCTCTGATCCTCCTTCATAATCTTCCTCCTCCTCTTCTTCCCATCGGCAGTTTAAGCAAAGAAATCTGGATGAATCAGGTTAGGCCTGCTGGGTTTCATTAGTTTTTAGCCTTGCATTTTTTAGCTGTAGCATTCATTTCCCTGGAGCTATCTGACCGAAATGACCTTTGTGTAGACAAAGATTCCTTGCCTGGATTGTCAATAGGTCCTACATTCTTTGCCCTGTTTCTCCCATCCCCACCCCAAACACTGTTCTAGCTGAACCAATGACACTTTGCTTCTACTTCTATACCTTTGAAAAAGTGAATCTCATTCATGTCTATGTGGTTGGATGAAATATAATTATTTTGGCAACCAGATAATAAGTACTTGCCTTGCAAAGCTCTGAAAAATTACTTTTAAGAAGAATGTACATAATGACATGCTGAAGTCCCCTGCCATGAAGTGGCAGGATGATCTGGGACACGCAGCATCATCCTATCATTTGTTCAGTTATGAGTGGCTTCAGCATGCTATTATTTTCATTCTTCTTCAAAGAACTTTCCAAGCTCTGCATTCTAGTAATGGTCTTTCCTGACCAATTCATATTGTTGTGGTAATCAAGGCATTATTTGGCAGTCATCTGCTTAGTTTAATAGTTATACATGTTTCCACAGTGGTAACAGAAACTGGAAATCTAAATATAGATGCACCTCAACACGGAATTCCCTGGTGAAATTTTCCTTGCTCAGACCAAGGTTTAGAAGGTATTTGTTCAATGATTTTTATTTAATTCTAATGTTTCATTAATTTAGTTTGGCCAAGGTAGGAGAAGAGAGAAGAGGTGAGTTAATTTAAGAAGAGGCAAGGAAGGAAGCAAACCTGCTTTCAGGAAGAAGTAATGATGCTTGAAATAATACTATTGGCTATCTGAATTATTGTCTTATCCTCTCTTTATTGTTGAGCACCTACTAGTCATTTCTGACTTATGGAGACCCTAAGGTGAAAACCACAGGAGTTTCTGGGCTAAAGTGGTTGTGACTCACCCAATATGATTGAGTGGGGACTTGAACCCTGGTCTCAAGAGTTGCAGTCCTACACTCAAATCATTACACATCACATTAGATCTCTACTCAGTATATGTCTTTTCCAACTTCAGATACACCACAACATCTCCAGAAGTTCCCATTCCTCTATTCTCATAAGAAAACTGATCCTGGAAAGGGGTGATCCCTGAAATTTCATACTATTTGGGACCATAAAGAGGGAACTAGGGGAGCTTACAGAATGCTTGGAACCAGAGGTGTTTGGGATTTTAGATTTTTTTTGGGGGGGGGGATTCTGGAATATCTGTATTTGTATATAAGTACATGATGAGATACTTTGGAGACGGGACCCAAGTCTAAACACAAAATTCATGTATGTTTCATATACACCTCATATACATAGCCTGATGATAATTTTACATAATACTGTATTTTAAATAATGTTGTGCATGAGACAAAGTTTGTGTACACTGAACCATTAAGCCGTTTTGCATCATTTTTTAACTGTTATGACTAATAAAGTCGAGAATAATATGTGAGAATAATATGCATGCATACAGCCCCCTTCTCTCTCTGTCTCTTCTTGTTTGTACATATGTCATATCATGTGCAGAGAAATTTCTGCAACTGCACTCAAATGCCGATGGCTGCATCTGCACTGCAGAAATAATCTGGTTTGAGACTGCTTTAACTGTCATGACTCAGTGTTAGGGAATCCTGTGAATTCATTCATTTCATTTCATTTATATACCGCTTCATACTGCGCTATGGGGTGTCTAAGCAGTTTACGACTGTAAGCTCCTTGTCCCCCAACAGTTGGGTACTCATTTTAGCGACCTCGGAAGGATGCAAGCCTGAGTCTAGCCTGAGCCCTGGCTATTATTCCACTCGCAACCTTGTGGTCTATGAGTGAGTGGCTGCAGGACAGGCATTTAACCACTGCGCCACCAGGGCTCCTGGTAGTTTATTGTGGCACCAAAGCTCACAAAACCACAGTTCCCAAAATTTCCTAGCATTGAGCCAGGGCAGTTAAAGCGATCTCAAACTGGATTATTTCTGCAATATGTTTTGGACCTATTTCTACTGGACATGTGAATTAAACCTTAATCCAGTCCAAATTAAATCATTAAACCTATGACACATACTTTCCTGAATGATTGTACTAAATTAATTTTACTATTCAACTCATGAAGAATTTTTTTTGCTGAAAACTTTGTATATGAAGTTTTAAACTTTTTTTCCAAGCAGAGGGATTTAAAAGACAACACATTAAAATAGCAATGCTGATAACAAGAACTGACACCCATGGCAGAAGCAAAGACAACGGTATAAAATGCTGGTGATTGATCTTACAGATATACGCAAATAAGTGATTATAAATCTGACATGAAAAGAAATGAAACACCACTTATGCTAAACTGTTAGATAAAGAGAAAGAGAAAGTTGGTCACCAATCAGCCTTTTTATGTGCAAAGGCCTAATGGGTATAGCAGCAGAAATAATAAAACAACTAATGCAAACAAAGAATCCAAACCAGGGAAATTGTTTTGAATAAATCAATCCTGCCCCTACAGCATTAAGAAAAGAGGTTCACTGTATGGAAAGGATTAACTAATCACAGTCAAAATACAATGCTATAAACTAAATACTTATCAAGCAGAAATGCAAAGA